AGTCGCATGCACGCTCCACTGACTGATCCAGCCAGGCAACCCGCCCCTTTGCACCTTTTAAAATTATGTGCCGACTGCAAATATTACCTAGTCAAAAAAAATGAATAAAATTAAAACTTGGAAATGTGGGTGGGTGGGTGGGGGTGTGGGGAGACAGACCCTTTTGCTCGGATAGGAAAGAATGCAAACAGGAATATGGGCATGTTGGACAATCGTGGTATTAACCCACATGTTAAAGGTGCACCCCTTTACCTAACAATGTCCGCTGTGGGGATCTAGGCCACACCTAGAAATGGCACACGAGCATATTCACGGCTCTATCATCTGTGCTGACCCTTAGAGGCTGGCCTGAGCATCTAGCTGTCTTTGAAGGCCTTGATGACTCTGAACAAAGACCAGGAGCTACACTGCCTCCTTTCCAGTCTGGCGACCTTTGCACATCACCTCTTAAAGAATCGCTCTGGGGGCTCAGTCGGTTAAGCGTCTGACTTCAGCTCAGGCCATGATCTCACGGTTCATGGGTTCAAGCCCCATGTGCTGACAGCTCAGAGCCTGGAGCCTGCTTCTGATTCTGTGTCTCCCTCTCTCTCTGCCCCTCCCCCTCCCCCCACTCACGCTCCGTCTCTCTCAAGAATTAATAAATGTTTAAAAAATTCAGAAAAATAATAATAACAACAGCTGCTGCCTACAGAGTGGTTGATTTGTGCCTGGCTCTGTTACACACACAACTCCTCCTGTGTCACAGCCACTTCATGAACTAGCTGCTCTTCTCAGCCATGTGGTAGACGAGGACACTAGGGCATGTCAGTGCTAACCTTGCCCACGGCCACGCTCCCTAACTCAGCAGTGGCAGAGAGAAGATTTCAGCCAGATGCCCATGCATCCGTAGCAGCTACCATTTATTAAGCACCTGCTGTGTGCTGAGCTGCTGTGCTAGTCCCTTGGTGGTGTTTTTACGAGGTCATCTCATAGTCCCGTGTGAGTGCAAGACGTGATGGGGATGAGGGGCGTCACTGAGGGAACTGTCCCTGCCCTTAAGAAGTAAGAAGATGACCACAACAATCCTTCCACGTCCGCAAAGCCTCACGGCTTCCAAAGCCCTTTATCTATCTCATTTAATCTTCTTGAAAATCCAGCCAAATAATTTTCATGATCTCTGCTCCAGGGTGGGGAAACCAAAGCTCTCCAAGTCACATGGGATGGCCCCCAAGATCATCCAACCAGCCAGGGGAGGGGCTGGAACCTGACCTCAGGTCTCATGACTCTGTCTCTGCTGAGGGGGTATAACATGCTGCCTCCACAGCCCGGCTCAGTGGTTTCCAACCTGCTCTAACAGGAGGACTCCTTCCCCGCTTTGGAAATTGTTGCAAGCCTGCAAATGAATGGAGCTGTTATTTAGGGTTTTAGTCAACCAGGGAAATTCACAGTGGAAAAACGACCAGGGAAGCAGCACCGCCAAAGAGCAGCAGCACAGTCAGTTACCCAGACATTACTTATACAGTCGGCAGACAGTATTTGGAGTACAAATAGACACAGAGACTTCTTGCAATAACCCTGCAGCCCACGAGCAGGCAGCCACTGGCTGAGACCCCACTGCCAGAGCAGTTCAGAGGAGGACACGTCTCCCAAGTCCATTTTCTCTATCAGAGCGAGGTGGGGGTGGGGCGGGGGAAGCACCAAAATTCAATGGGATTGGTGGAAAGTGGTGTTGGGGGGAGCGCTGGGAGCAAAGGGGTGTGATAAGGGCCACAGGCTAGTGGAGAGGCCAACAGGGCACGTGGGTGTTTGTGTATTTCTTTTGGAGGAAAAGGTTGATTCTGGATGCCCAAGAGCCACTACAGCAGTTGGGGTAAAGAAGCAAACCAAACATTAAAAAAAAAAAAAAAAAAAATTGGTGGGTTCGAGCCCCGTGTCGGGCTCTATGCTGACAGGTTGGAGCCTGGAGCCTGCTTCCGATTCTGTGTCTCCCTCTCTCTCTCTCTCTGCCCCTCCCCTGCTCACGCTCTGTCTCTCTGCCTCTCTCTCAAGAATAAATAAACATTAAAAAAAAATTTTTTTTTTTAAAGAAACAGACTAGAAATGGAGAGGATGGCCTAGGAGAGAGATCGTGCAAGAGGTTTGAACTTGCAATGAAATTACCTTTCGAGAAATAAAGAGAACATCCAAGGCTGTCGTAGTGGGTTCTCACTTGCTACTGAGTGTGCCCCCGCCCTGCACCATCCCGCTCCCCTGTGCACCCACATCCGAGCTGGACAGGCGGCCCTCTGTGCCCTTGACTATGTAGACGGCCTCCATGCTTGATGATTCCTTACCTTTCCAGGATCTTCTCCATGCAGTACAACGCCACAGTGAAGCTCATTGACGTTAGCACCCAGAGGCCCGGGTGCAAGTCCCAGCTCTGCAGCAATCCCGTACGACATTAAACTTCTCAGGGCTTCCATTTCCTCACCTGTAAGACGGAAGTAACAATAGTACTTGCCCTGTTGCTATTTCGAGGATGAGGCGCATGAGCATATGTTAAATACTGAGAACAGGGCGTCCTAGAATAAACGCTTGCTATTATTCCTATGAAGAAGCCTTTTCTGGAGCCCCTGGGTGGCTCAGTTTGTTGAGTGTCTGACTCTTGATTTGGGCTCAGGTCATGATCCCACGGTTCGTGGGATTGAGCCCTGTGTCAGGCTTAGCAATGACAGTGTGGAGCCTGCTTGGGATTCTCTCTCCCTCTCCCTCTACCCCTCCCCTGCTCATGCTCTCTGTCTCTCTCTCAAAATAAATAAACATTAAAAAAGAAACTTAAATAAAAAAAGCGGTTTCTATTCCCAACTAATCACTCCTCTCCCCTGCACACTTGGCCATCCAAGCTCTTCTGCCACTTTTTTCCCCCCACTTATTTGCCTATTTATATGTTTCTTGATATTAAACAGTAAACACCTGGCACATCAGAGACATTTATGAAGGAAGGAAGGAAGGAAGGAAGGAAGGAAGGAAGGAAGGAAAGAGAGAAAGAAAGAAAGAAAGAAAGAAAGAAAGAAAGAAAGGTGGGTGAGAGGGAAGGAGACAGGAAAAGGGCCCTGACTGCAAAACCTTTAAAATTTCATTATGGAACGAGGCTGGCTCAGTCTGCAGAGCATGGATGGGACTCTTGATCTTGGGGTCGTGAGTTTAAGCCCCATGCTGGGCAGAGAGTTTGCTTAATAAAATAAGTTTACTGTGGCAGTCACCAAAGTGAAAAGAAACCATACAATCCTCATCTTCTGTAGGCGTATCTTAAAACCCTACTTCCCACCAAGCTTTGGGAGTTTGCAAACATCACGTAAGTTGCAATCCCAGCCTCCATGGAACTGACAATCTATGGCGGGTGATGGGACATGCCATGTGAAACATAGCTGTAGAACAAGGTTGTTGTACTTGCCAGCCAAGGGATAGTCAGTGCCACTGGAAGGCCAGAGCTGGGAGAGGGCAGAACAATATGGGGTGAGTCACAAGTGTGTGTGTCATCCTTGCTCAAGGTAAACTAGGACTGTTGGGTAACAACAGGAAAATGTCACAAAGCAGGATGAGCCAGTGCATGCCTCTGATTGGTGGGCACAGCCTTGGGTGTGGAGGAGGGAGAGAAATTCAAGGCTTGCTGGGGGTCAGGGCACGCATGGTGAGACAGTGGGAACGAAGTCCAGAGCCAGAGCCCTTCCAGAACTCTTACTGGCTTAGAACCTCCATTTTTTTTTTATCTTCCCTGTGTTGTGAACTCTTCTAGATGCTGGTTTCTGATAACTTTTTTTATTACTATGCAAGTAACATGCTTTCATAGAAGAAATAAGGAGGAGCAAGAGGAGGAGGAGGGAGAAGGAAAAGAAAATCCAGAGAAAAGAGAAAAAATAACCTAAAGTCCCACCGCCCCAAATCACTCCATATTTTGGTGCCTGCCCACCCACCCTTTATCCTCTCTTCCACCCACCCTTCAACCTATCCATCCATCCACCTATTCATTCATCCATCCATCCGTGTCAGAGTTCTTAGTTGCAAACAACAGAATCCACTCTAACTGAAAAGGAACTTATCTCTTTTTTTATGATGATTTGGTTTTTCAGTTTATTCATTTTTATTTTTTTAATTATTTTTTCTAATGTTTATTTTTGAGAGAGAGAGAGACAGAGTGTGAGCGGGGGAGGGGCAGAGAGAGAGGGAAACACAGAATCTGAAACAGGCTCCAGGCTCTGAGCTGTCAGCACAGAGCCCGACGCGGGGGTCCAACTCACAGACCACGAGATCATGACCTGAGCTGAAGTTGGCCGCTTAACCAACTGAGCCACCCAGGAGCCCCTTTTTCAGTTTATTTTAAGAAGGAAAGCATAAGTGGTGTGGGGGTTGAGGGAGAGGCAGAGTCAGACACAGAGAGAGAATCCCAAGCAGGCTTTGCCCTGTCAACACAGAGTCTGACAGTGGGGCTTGATCTCAAGGACTGTGATATTATGACCTGAGCTGAGATCGAGAGTCGGACGCTTAGCGGACTGAGCCACCCAGGTGCCCCTAACAGAAAAGGAACTTATTTTTTTTTTTTAATTTTTTTTCAACGTTTATTTATTTTTGGGACAGAGAGAGACAGAGCATGAACGGGGGAGGGGCAGAGAGAGAGGGAGACACAGAATCGGAAACAGGCTCCAGGCTCTGAGCCATCAGCCCAGAGCCTGACGCGGGGCTCGAACTCACGGACCGCGAGATCGTGACCTGGCTGAAGTCGGACGCTTAACCGACTGCGCCAGG